TATTCTTGTTTTTAATATTGATCTTAGTCTTAGTGTTTATTTTAAATTTAATCTTAATTTTAATCTTGATCGTAATCTTGATCTTAATCTTTATCTATTTCTATTTCTATATCTTTATTTAATCTTTTTTTGCAGAAAACGGCACTCAGGCTACATGCTGCCCTTTGTTCCGTTTTCATGTTCCTTTTAATATATATTTTTTTTAAATCTACTTGATTTACAAATAAACGGAACGTCAAATGCCGATCACAGTCAGGTGTTTGCGCCAGTCAGCGGTCCACCAAGTTGCCTGCAGTCCAATCTGTTCAATGAAAGCAAATACCTAGCACGTAAACTTCTGCATCTCCAGCTATTTTCCACCACGTAGTCCATGACCTTGAGGATTGCAAATATTTCGGCTTGGAATGCAGAGGCATATTCGCCAAAAGAAAATTTAAGTTCATTCCCATTACCTTCGATGTGGACAATTTTGGAGCCATCAGTAATAATTTGACGGTGGATGAGCCCAGACTCAGTGCTGGAATTAAGACAGCATTCAGCCTTAGGGACGTAAACTTTGTGGAATCTCCTCAGCAAAGGTGGCGTTCTATCTTGGACATTAAAAATACTCTTTTGTCTTGATCTCTGCCAGCAGAAAACTCCGCCTCGCCCCACCTAGTATCATACTCACATCCATTTCTCTTAAGCCTGTAGGTGGCCTTTAAGGCCTCCCCAGGTATGAAGGTGCAAAGTGATGGTAAGTTTAGCAGAGCATCAAGAACAGGTGTTGTAGAGAAAGCTTGGGCGTTTTTCAAGAAATATTTTTAAAATATTTCTTTAGCTTTAAAGCCACGTTAAGATGAAGTCTCTACGATGAGCAGAGCCCGAGATATAACGCTTTAAAGAAGTACATGAATCGTCAGAATCACGAAAAATTTCAAACTTTGACAAATCATATCTCTGAAGAAAAAAGAAAAGAAAAATTCCTCTAATACGCGTTAGTTTGCTTTATGTATAGAACCCATAAAAAAATTTTAAGCCAATAGAAAGTGTGACACAAAATTTGGTGTCCGATATGAAAAATAATGCCTCATAAGTACGGTGACCATAAATATGGATTCAAAATGAAGGAGAATTTTTCAAAAATATGCCTACATACATATATTTACGTAGTATAAAAATATCAAAAGAGTATTTATGATTTTAAATTCTTATTACATTTTAAGCTTTAAAAATGAATCACGTTTTATTCATTGATATTAATCCTTTTTTTACATGAATATTTATAAAAGTGTAGTAAAACATATCATAATTACAATAGCTTACACGAAAAGTGAAAATCTTTAAAAGATTATTTTATAGGCAAGTTTTGAGTCGTTCAAAACGAAAACAATACCCTTCTTTTTTTGTTTTTTTGGTACTTTTCGCAGTTATTTGTCAAAAATCGACGTCATGAATCGACGTAAACGACGAGTTACAAAGTGCCCTTTACAAAAATATATAATTTGAGCAGATTGCGCTCCATAGCATCTAGATTTCTAATCCGATTTTCATTATCTTTGGCTCAAAGTTTACTGTAATGATATATCGTCTTTATCGAATTTTTTAAATAATGAAAAAAATAATCAAATGAAACTGCGCATTTGATTGAAAATCTCACTTTTTTCGCCTGAAGCACTAGTAATTTTCATTGAAGTCGCCACAAGTTATATATTTTGGTAAGAGGCACATCAATACACTTCGAGCTGCAAGTCGCTTACGGTAATTTGGAGATCTGTTCATGAGATATTGAAGAAAAGCTACGCAAAGTACCAAAAAACACTTTTTTGAAAAAATCCATCCATTGTCCGATAATTTTAAAATAACGAATAAAATGCGGGACAAATGCAGGACACTTGGAAAAAATCAGTACATATTTAGGTTTTTCAGGTTTGAAAAACTACGCAGGACCGACCTTTGAAAAACAGTAAGGTCCTGCAAAAAACAGAACGGATGGTCACCGTACTCATAAGTCATATGTAAAATTAAATAAATCGCATGGGAGATATTTTTAATGATTTTTCGTTTTTCTTAATTTCTTGGTGTTGTTGAAGGGACTGCGAGAATTGTGTTGTCGAAGTGCAAGTACGAAATATTTAACCTTTTAAAATAAACAACTCTCAGTAAATCCCAGCTCAGTTATGCATACTTTGCACTGCATTGCATAGCATGTCACTTTTACGTAGAAATCAAAAACCAACAGACTTTTACATACATATGTAATGCTGTGCGTTGGGTAACCGCTTACATGCAAAATTCATTTAACAGACTCCTTATTAACCGACTTCCAAAAAAGGAGGAGGTTATCAGTTCGTCGGAATATATTTTTTTTTCTATGTATGTTACCGCATAACTTTCCACCACGTCAACTGATTTAAATAATTCTTTTTGCAACGGAAAGGTAGTGTCTCAGAGGTGGTCCCATACTAATTTTTAGATCCGATCATTGGATCATGAAATATATAGATATATATATATTTTTTAAGTCGGTTTTTTTTTCCTAAAAATTACTTGTTTGACAACTCTCGTGCAATGCCAAGTAAATTCGCATTCGCATTCGCGAATGTGAAAAATATGACATTCTAAACATACATACATACATGCATGCGTCAGTGCAGGTCAAGTTAAAGGCCATTGATAAGAGCCCCCTTCCACGAAATTATTAAAAATATTAGTAAACAATTTACTGTCTCAATGAAATATTAAAATTGAAAGGAGGAAAATTTCCAAAATGCATACGTAATATGTATTCTTATTGTTACTCTATTGGTCATTCCTAAAATGAGGTACTTTTTGCAAAAATTTTCCCTTTCAATATTTAATTATATTTTAGTTAAACCGGAAATAATTCGTTATATTTATTTACAATATTTCAATAATCAACGCGGTTTTGCATTTTGTTGATACGCGGTTTTGTACTCTAAACGACGATATTTATGTATGTATGTATAAGATTAGTTTATAATCAAGCAGACTGTCTGCTGTAAATAGAAACATTCACAGTTTAATTGTGGTTCAGATGAATGTTTGGTTGGTTTAAGTGGATTGTCATTTTTGTTCCACAACTCGTGCAACCTACAGCCACTTGGCAGCTTTAAGGAATTTCAGTACGTCATACAGAGAGAGGCAGCTGGACTCTAAAACATTCTGCAGGAATGGCTTGCCGAGTGTCTTAAGAGTCATCCTTGCGAGGGCTGGACACTCGCACAGGAAGTGTGTCTTTTAAGCCAGGGTCATCGCAACTGGAACAGGACCGGTTAAAGGGCAATCCAATCCTTTCGGCATGTACCCGAACGGGCCAGTACCCTGTGCACACTGCAGTAAGTGTGTAGGTATCTTCTTTGCTCATTCCGAGGAGAGGTATGCTTTTAAGTGGATCGTAGGACACCCAGAACTGCCGGGTAATTCTCTACGATCTTGTAAGGTTCCAGCTCTGCTTGGCCTTCAAGTGATACATTCCAGTAATTTTTGTGCCGCACCTTGCTAGTTCGTTCGCTGCCTCGTTGCCGTAAATGTCCCGGGACCCATATTAGGGTAATTTCGTATTGATCAGAGATGTAGACGAGCTCTTTCCTACAGTTCTCCACTAGTTGAGATCTAACAGAGGTACAAGAGTGTGCCTTAATGGCCGTTTGGCTATCCGAGAAGATATTCGGTTGAATATTCGGCGAAAGATTACAGCTGAATTTAAATGTAAAATATATACTAAAATATGCGCGACAAATATGCAAAAACAGGTATTTTTTACAAAATATGCAAAAATATGCACTAAAGATTGAATGCCATTTTAAAGAAAATTTCATGATTCGTAAAGAACTTAACCATTTCCATTTGAAGATGCCCAATAAAAACATGCATTTGCTTGAGATTCCGAGTGAAAATTTGTGAGTGAATGAGTATGTTGCTCTTTCACGCTGAAACGGCCATGCAGATTTCAGTGAAGTTTAGCGCGCAGATCGGATATAGATAGGATATTTTTTTAAAGAGAGTTGCCGACGTTTTCAAAAGTTAGAATCAATTAAATAATTAATAAGTTAAGTTAAATATTACTACTTACACCACCTGGTGCAAAATTTGGCTGCATATTCGTAGTCAGCGGGCCCAAAAACCCCTTTGATACCAAGACTAAACTAAATCCATCAATATTTGAAAAATTGTGTCTACCTTGCCTGTAGTCTTTCAATTCTTTTACAAATGGCTTGCATTTATCATAGCCAGAAATGCCCTGTGAGTCTAGTCAAGACGTAGACAGCATTTCGTCTTCGCCACCAGGCCAATCCGATGCATGTGAGACTGAGCGGAGATAGTTTCTACGGGTTATGTGCCCTGGAATCAACTTAATGTTAGCTGTACTCAAAATATTTGTTTTATCTCAAGTGAAAGTATTTCCAAAGAGCCAGCCTAGCCTGTCCAGTGGAGGCTCGCTTCGGCTCCCCAGTCATTACCGAGGTTGTAAGCCTTGGAGAAGATAAAGAAAGCACTGATTATGGTTTAGTTGTCTTGGCACATTATAGTTAAAAACTTCGGGCAAACAAATTGGCCTACATACTGGCAAATGCGCCAACCAACATTACACCACCAGCTTTGACTGTTCCAGAGCCTCGCTATTTACGCAGATTGCTGGTAGTTTAAGACCAAATTAATTACTTTTTAAAAGCAGTATTTATGTATTTAGTCTTCGTTGCTTCGTTGCGGTTTCTCGATGCCCGTAATAATGGCATATTGCAAAATTCTCTTTATGGCAAATAAATAATATCTCTACACTTCTTGCAACCTTCACATCTATCATTATGACCTACCCACAATTTATATGCATTTAACCAATTAGTGGAAGTTACTATGTACATACTGAAAAGCATGTAAAATCATAACGTTGCACAAATACATATGCACACATGTACAAACATATATATATGTATATGCACATATTTACGCCTCCAATTGCATGCAACTAATTTCCTTTTCCCATCATTTACTTTCAGTTGGCGAGTGCTAATGTTGGGTTTCTGCGTCATACTCCTGTACTCGACCGTTGCGGCGGCGTCTGTGGAGGCGACAACAATGGGCATTGCCACGGCGACAACAGCGGCATATATGACGGCGATGTCTGAAACAACGACGTTGAAACCAAAAAACGGTAGGTACGAGTGTTCAGTTGGTGTTCAGTTACCAAAGGTAAGCAACATTATCCAGTTAAGCCAGTTGGCTTGTTGACAATGAGGCGCGCGTGTTCCGACCAGCTTTCTGCTTACAATATTTTGTTTTGTTTTTCGCTACACACTTGATTTACACAACTTATCTAAGAAACGAGAGAAATGTGTAGAAAAGAGTAATGACTTTAGATGAGGGAAAAATGCACGGACGGAGTCGCCTTCTTTTTCATTCTGGGAAGGGTGCTTAAACAAGTTTTAATGTTGTTATATGGTTTGAGTTATTAGTGCGAAAATAACACTATTTCTTTTGTTTATTTACTGCTTATAGTTTTTTTTTTATAAAAGTGTAGCACATAACATAACCAGCTACACAAAAATCCATGTTTCAAACTTCATACAAAATTATAAAAACTAAACAAACTTTAGCTATTACACCCACAACTTTTAAACTTTTTATTCAGAATTTCTAGAAAAATTCTAGGTATGCAGTTATATAGCCCATTAAATTAACTACGTAAAAGCGCGTTGACTTTTAATATATTTTTTTTTTGCTGACGATACTAGGCGGTGTCGTCTATATAAAAAACACTATCCTAAGATAAAACGTGAGTGAATGGAACCTCTACCTGGCTTCTTATATTTTTTAATAAATACTCTTTAATATAGGCCACGCTAAAAGCTCCTTTTCATATAAAAATTCGTACGTGTCCCACCCGTGACAAACGTTCTCCCACCCGTGACAGAGGAATTTCGTTTTTTTCTAATAAAGCAATAAGTTTTGTGTAAATTTTTGCTTTGTTAGTATTCGTGGTTCTTTTATTTATTTCAGGACAACAAGTTCACATAGAAAAGTGAAATAAATTCGCAGATGATTCATTAGTTGTGTTTCATGAGACCGAAAAAGTGCAGAACAGGTGAAGTTAGAAGAGAATCGAGCAGCTGTCAAAAAACAAAACAATAGAGCAAGTTAGAGCAACTCAGATCAGAAATATCATGAAACACTTTTTAAGCAGAAGTTCTCAAAACAGTTGCTTGCTCTAAGTTACTCCATCAAAGAAGCTGGTGCAGAAAATCGTGCTCTAAGTTGCTCTAGTTCCTTTTAGCGTAGGCTCATGAAACAAAAATTTGAGTAAGTTAGAGCAAGAAAAATCCTAATGAAACACAATTTTGTGAGATATCTTATTTAACCTGGCGTAACCTAGAGCAGCTCACTAAACACAACTATAAATTTGTTCGCTTTACGGTTGTTTGTAACAGCTTAAAGCAATCGAGATAGATCTAGACATATACATATATAATGTACACCAAAATGCTTAGAATGAATATAGAGGACGATTAGGCCATGTCTGTCTGTCCGTGTGCACGTTGCGATAACACTGCAGTAATCAGGAAGGTGGAAGCTAAACGATACAGTTAGGCATGTTCCGAATAAACCCCACCACCAACTCTTTTGTCGAGATTATTGCAAAGTTTTGGAAAACGGCAGTGGCTCCATCTGCATATGTATGACTATACACTATACACATATATGTTTATCTCGGTAAGCGATTTATCAACTTCTGGTAAATTGTGTACAGATATTGCTATCGGTACAAAAAAGCAGTATGTTGAAAGGTTTTTAAATCGCAGCTTCCCATATGTATAGCGGTAAATTTCAGAAATACGAAAACTCCGATATTACAAAAACTAAGGACGCAATTTACTCCAAGTTAATAATTACATCAATCTCTTAACAAGCATCCTCATCATCTTCATAAATTGAAGAAAATGGGGCGGGCGAGCATTAGTTGGTACCAGTGTTGCCACAAGGATTTTTTATTTTCTACCAAAATCACCAGAAAAAATTATCAAATTCAACAAGTAATTACCAAGCATATTTTATGTGCCAAACTATACGTATGTATGTATGTATATAAATAATATGTATAAAAATAATAATAATGTATGTATGTATATACATCCACACTCGTTCGCTATTAGATATCGTAAGATCAGATACCAATAAGTTGAAATTCCACACCCAGGTTTTTTGATTCAATTAATGCGCTATGCAACTATAATTTTTATGTCGGCGTGAGCGTCGAAAGTCACAACGCCAGGGAGGAGATTCTGTAACCAGTTAGCGACGACAAGTTTCGGATCGCTATCGCATTTGTTAACGTAAAAATATTCGTACCATACGTCAACAAAAGCGATACCGATTCGAAAATTGTCGTTAACAGGTTACTGAATCTCCCCCCAAAAGAGCTTGAGTGAATTATAAGCTTAAGTGTGGCCGAAGAAATTGTAGCCAAAAAAAACTTTAGGATTCTGATCATTAAAAGTATCCTTGATACGCTCTATTGCAAGAGAGGATTATCAGGCGAAAAATTTCTCGCAGAGTCGATGTCTTTCGGCACCGTGATCGTCCGACTTGGTTCCCGTTGGATTTTTTTATGAGGCCAGGCGAATGGCCGCATTTAAGCAAATAAACTTGAAAATCAACATATGTCAAGTTTGGCGGCATGCCCAGTATATATACGAGCATACCAACAGATCAACTCTCGGAGGTTTTAAAGATTTTCTGAAGCTCTCCTAAGTTGCTCACAAATTTTCCCTTTTGTTCATTAATGAGTAAGTATGATCTTTTCTGACAGTCAGGTAGCCCTGAAAGTTTAAGAATCACATACATGCAACACAATGCAACAATGCAAAGTCCTTAACTGAATGCCGTAGATCTTTGAACTAGAATTCTAATCGTATTGGTGCCAGTACACCGAGATATAGAGGGTAATTGCAAAGTGATGAATTTGCAAGGAAAGGTACGGCCACCCATAACCTGCGGGAATTTCGAGAATTACGTGGCCTTTCGGGCGCTAAATTTATGACTCGTCCGCGACGCTTGGATGGTTAAGGCCAACCCTGCTTAACTTATATCAAATTTGTAAGTACATACGTATCTACTTATGTATGTATGTACATTTATCAGCGTCCTAAGTTTAATGTTTAATCAGTGGGGTTTTTTTGCTCCCTTTTTATTGTGTGTGCCGAGTGTTCTTGATAGCTTCTGAGAGGGCAATAAAGTATTTTTGTATACACGGCACGCCAGCGTCTTCTTAATTTATTTTCTTTATTAATTTGCAATTTATGACGAAATGCAGTTGATAATGAAACTACGCTCGAGCACAAATTTGTATGTAGTAAGTTCTTATGTATGTATGTCACTATGCAGTTACGAGTATCAGTGTTGCCAGAAAAAATTGCGTTTGGAGCTAAATTGGTAGAAAAAAATGCTAAAAAGACCTAAATAATACTAATAGTATCTATGAAAAGCTAATTTTTTTAGAGTTGAGCATTTATTGACGTAAAGTTGCTTTTACACTTTCCTCAATAAAATAAAAATAACGAATTTTATTAATGTAAGTGCTGAAAAAACTTTTACAACGAAAATAAGGCGCATATATTTCGAACTTAATGCTACGGCACTTACATGTATGTACGCATATACGTATATAAACTAGACGATGAACTAAAAATACTTTACAGTCTGTTAAAATCTGCAATTTCAAATATTTGAATTTACCATAAAAACTCGAGTTACTAATAATTTTTTCGCAAAATATTTTTGGAAAGTTTTATTTTTTTCTCTCCTTAAGGTTAAATTAGTAAGGTAAAAACAAAAACCGCGCGTCCAGAACAAGGATTTTCTTGTAATTAATTTTTGAAATCTTTAATTATGGAACCAAGATGGTGGAGTTTGTAGTTATCCATGAATGCAAATGTATGTTTTCCACTGCATTTCGAAATTTGTAATTTTATCAACGCTTAAGTTTTGACTTTCCTTTTCTGCCATGGCCGGCTGAGAGAGAATACACCGTCTGAGCTTATTGGAGCTCGAATTACTGCCCGGTATAGTTTGTGTGCTCCCGCGCACGTTGTAGAAACTGATCGACTTACTTGCCCATGTTCTTCATTTGCTTACGCGTCATTTGTGCATAGGAATGGAACTTTTCTAAGTTTTAATCGAAATAGAATAACATGAAGCTATCGAAAATAGCCTGAGATCACCAAAGCCGAAAGCATTTTAGGCAACACTTGTACAATGAAATTATAGATTTTTAATTTTAATATGTTACCAAATACAACTAAAACTTTCTGACGCTAAAAAGGTGCTAGATAATTTTGAAAAGAGCTAAAAAAAGAGCTTGGAGCTACATCCGGATTTTCGGAGCTAGATAGAAAAATAAAGAGCTAAATCTAGCTCCAAAAGCACCAAAATGGCAACACTGACAAGTATATGTGTAAAAATCTGAGAATAAATAAAAACATGACTTTGCTTTCGCCAAAACAGCGAATGTTAAATTACTGTTTCAAAAGAAGCCGTATAGCTTTTGTATATACATATATACTTACTATGTGTACATGTAAATATATAGATATGTACGTATTAGTTGGAGTGTGCCAATGTGAACACATTAACACATTTGTATGCATTCAATTTTTTCGGAACGCCTATAATTCGAGTTTGTTGGTTTCATATTTCATTCTTTCGTTTAGCTGAGACACCTGCCGCACTCAAAAGGTACTTATTACATACCTGCATACATACATACATACATAAGCGTGGCTGTCTGTCTGTCCGTGCACACGATAACTCGATTAAAAATTTAGATATCTTAACGAAACTTAGAATAGGGGTATTCTCTGAGTCTTGCAAAGCCCTTGCAAGGTGCACGGATTGCACGGTTTGCAAAGCTGTCCCATACGAAAACCGGTTTTTACCGTGCAATCTGTGCACCGTGCAAGGGCTTTGCAAGACTCAGAGAATACCCCTAGTGTGTACTAATTTTGAGCCAAGGACGGATGGTATTGAAAATGGGCAAAATCGGAAAATAACCACGTCTAACTCCAATATAACGGTAGTTTTCAGAAATACGAAAAATGCGATAGTTTAGCAACTACTGAAGCTTATTCACTCAAAATTGATATTTGCAATGATCTTCAGGCGGAAAATAATAATATTATAAATTTTTGTTTGTTATTTATGGCCTTATAACAATTATATTCAACAATTTTATTGAGCTTGAGGCCGTTTTTAATGAAAAACTATTGTGGAAAAGCAACCATCTTTTATAAAAATGGTAGAAGTGATAGCTATTTCGGAGATCACCATATATGAAATTAATTTTACAATTTGTAATTTACATTTAAATTGAACCTCCAACCGGACTCGAACCTGTGATCTCAGAACCAGAAGAAGTAGTCTTCACGCAACGCCACAGCCGACATGAGCCAGGAAAGCAATTAACTTCGTCTTAACAACACTGATAAAATTATTACTTATATTGTGTAAATTTACTTCCTCAAATTAATAACGCGCTATTTTTGGCATGAACCTGAATGAAGAAAAAACTTCTCAAATTGAGTAAATTTTTCGCAATATTGAAGAAAAAACAGTAACTCTTAAATGAGGCAACTGGTTTCTGGTTTTAAGAAAATGCTTTTTTCTGAGTGTATATAACTTTATATCATTAAATCTAACTGAACATACTATCGTGGATGTTTGAAATAGGGTAACCACCCCTGCTTACCATGTAACGGTAATTTTCGGAAAGGTCAAAAAACTATATTTAATACGTGCGACGGGTATTTAATGTTCGACTTCGCCCCAACTTAGACTTTTTAAGTGTTATTTTTATCCGATCGGTTTTTGAAAAAAAAAATAAATATACACCTCTAATCGACTTGGCTCAAATTCTACTCCGATTTCTTTCCAAAAGGATTAAGGTATTGTTTCATTATTTTTATTCAATGAAAGGCAAAAAGTCCAAAAGAACTGGAAAACTTTTAGTTGAGCTCGAATCCTTCTGCAATTTTTGGAGTTTTGGTTTACTTTAAGCACGCAAAATTTTGTATTCCAAGTTTTGCCAAATACTTGAAGAAAATTACTATAAGATTTTCCTCTTCTATAAAAATGGACTTAGCAACTTTTTACATACATACATACTTACATACTTTTGCATCTCTTTTCTATGTAGTAAGGTTTAAATGATTAACGCAAACACATAAATTCGGCTTTACATGAAATAATAATTGTTCCCCAAAAAAAAATAAAAATTTCTTCAGAAGCAAATATACATACATATGTACATATGAAATTCGCATTGCATGAGCGTGCGCTTCTGAGATTGTTCATATATACACAAATTTGCTTGTAATGTCTTTATCAGGTTTCATGAAAGGCACCAGTTCTAATAACTGTCCAACAAAATTTTACGGAATAGCAAATTACAGATTTTGTATGCGGTTTTTTCGTAGAAATAGAATTCCATTTACCCTAAAAAATATGTATTTCGTATACTCTTATTTATGAGTACTTTTTTATTGAAAAAGTGAAAAAAGGGACTAGAATTTATTCAACTGCAACTGAACTTGTAAAATAGTGAAATATGTAAATTGTTTTAAATACTTAGATAAATAACTACACCATTTCCTGTTGTAAATGAGAAATCGTCAAATGAAAATGCGAAAGCGTCAGTTGTAAATGAGAAAGTGTTTTTTGAAAGTGAGAATAGTTAATTGTAAATGCGAAAGTGTCAATTGTAAATAAGAATAATGAGGGCTAAATGAAAAAGAATATTTCGTACCATAAAATAATTAATTTAAAGACGCTTATCTCGGTAATAATTATTCAATGAGGTCGCTGTAAAACGAGTTTTAATACGGGGCTTTTCACGTTTTCAGATCTCCATAGTTGCAGTTTGCAAGTTACGTCGTATTATTACAACAAGAAGTCAATCAAATATAGCTGGCCGATATTCGGATGAAAACGGTCTCGGTCGAATTCCGAAGAAACTTTATCACGAATGACGAAGCCCATATTTTCGTCAAAGAATCCTCCTTTGAATGGTTGGTAAGATTTTCTGGTCACACTGTTCACACTGAACTGATTGAATCTGTTTAAATCATTCCTTCGACACGGTCAATAACTATGTAATGCGTTTAAGGTCAGACAATCGATCCACCGAGGGGTTCCTTCAAAAACAAAACATGTCGAGCATGGATAGCCTCAGTTTTGCATCGCTGGCAGAAGCAGGGAAACCACCTGGACGACTTAGTTTTGGTAACCAACTGTTGTTTCCAATGGGCTAGAACAAGTGCTACGTTCACCGCCATATTGCCCCATGCTAAATAATTTGGTGTAAAGTAAACCCAAAATGGTAAATGTGCCAAATGATGTGGGGCATTATTTCTATGGGAAAAAGAAACACTTAATGCGCGATCTCATAGAATTATCGTAGAGAGGGGAGATTCATGGAGGATAATTTTTAATACCAAATACTAAAATCTGTGTCGAATACCGGTCGCATTGCAGGAATCTGAATTTTTTTTTACGCGGTCTAATATACATACATACATATATACACACATATCTTGCGTATAAGTTAAATAAATTCGATTTTCAAACAGGCGGCAAGCCTTTTCATAAGTATATTTAAACTTAAATCTTCTTAAATCTCTTTAATTTTACATTAGGGTACAAATTTCAATGAACTGATTATTTAAGTTTTCAAATACGTGGAAATCCCTCTAAATTTAGTTCGCAAATAAAGCCTTATATTTATTAATAATTCATTTAACTTATTAAAGAATTTGGGGCATATTCATAGTCAAAATAAAGTCAACTCAAAAGTTAGTGGCAGTTCATAATGGAATGTTCGTGAAAAAAGCTGCAACTAAGCTAACCCTCTGCTACTGACGTGACCGAAGTTTCCCTATTATACTGACGTGTAGTCTCTCAGACACCAATTTTCCAGATTAAAATATATTTATATACTAGATATTCATTAATAAACTTTCTTTCGATTTAAACTGGAAATTCCATAAATATTTTAAGTACTTTTTAATGAATATTTACTTTATATTGAAAAACAGGCGTTTCTAGTAATCAACGTTATTGAAGCTAGGGAAAAATGTTCCGTATTTATGATCGAGTTTATGTCCAACAACCGATGTAACATGATTTATATTTATTTATTTATGTTTTTCTTAAAAATCATCTAATTTTTATTCATATGTATTAACATATTTCTGTCTTGCTTTCAGATGTCATAAGACGTAGTATAAGAGTGGGCAAATATGGTAATGCCACTATATTGTGTAAGACTTCTAACCGCTCACAAACTTATTTTTATGATGCGTCTATGGAAAAGTTTGTGTTTCCGTTCGACATCGAAAATGAGGTTAGTTGGTTATACAGAAGTACATAGTAGATATATGCATTCATATGTACGTATGTATATTCATTAGGGTGGTCCTTAAAAAATCAAATCAACGATTTTTTTCAGTCTCACCCCTCAATCATTATCGATCACGGTCACAGATATCACTTATAAATTTTGGTCCCGATTGGAGTCGGTTAAGGCGTGTCGCAAAGGAGTCAACATTCAGATGCCTCTATGGACTCAAAAAATTTAAAAATATTTTTTTTTTTTTTCATTTAATACCCAAAATCGATACTACTAAAGTCGGGCAAATCACATATAAATTTTGGTCCCCATTGGAGTCGGTTAAGATGTCTTCATAGGGTAATCTGGACTTTGACCACTATGCAACACGCCTTAACCGACTTCAATCGGGACAAAAATTTATATATGTGATATCTTCAACCATAGTTGCATCGAAGTAGGGGTTGAAGATTACTTCCTACATTTACGTACCACCCTAATGTACATATGTGCTTCATTAGTGCACTTTCCTAAATTTTAAATTTGTTTCAGCTTCTAAGTAATTATGCTGTGTTAGTTTTGAATGGAGTTCATCAACCGTCAACCTACCTGTGCTTTCAAAATGGAACTCTTTTAAGTGAAACGATTTTGACAATTGGTAAGTGTTTGGCTGTTATTCATTTTTAATTTAATACATATCACACACCATCTTCAAAAGGGACACAATTCAAAAATCAGATCAGAAAATATAACTGCTTGTGGATGGTATAGATTCAGCTACTCGATTTAAGCGTCACATAGTGCGAAAAATTACGAAATTCATGTAATATATCGAGAACGAAAAAAAATCAGAAGGACGATTTTAAGGTCAACTTAGTTCTAAAATTGCCTTCAAAAGTAAAATTTATAATTACTTTTTTTTACCTAAAAATAGGATGTGCCTACTGAACCTTAAATTATACAACTATAGTGCGTTTTTCGGTTTCTTGACGCATTCCATACTGTTTTCAGGTGAACAAAGAAAAAAAAATTTACCTAATTTTGAAGGTAATTTTAAGGGTGTTCTCGTTCTCGAGATATTAGATTTTACTAGAAAAAAATTTAATTTTTCACACTCTGCGCCACCTGGCCATACATTTTTTTCATAAAAGCCTTGTCATACCTGCAAATACATATACATAATTTCTTGCTCTGAAACTTAAAAATCTAAAAATCTTTTTGGGAGATTTACTTTCTCCACTATGTAACTTCCCCCATACAATTTTATGGCACTTTGCCCACCTGGGTCCAAGTCTACGCGATTCTCCACGCCTCATGCCAATATTGGTGTGGAACGGGTTTGTTATGTATTTAAAACTATACATACATACGTCTCTAACTTTGGGCGGATGGAAAATTTTACACAAGTAGAGCGATTTTTTTGTACCCCCGGATCCGCCACTGTAAGTGCTCATTGATTTTACTTTATGTACGTAATAGAACTTGTAAACAAAGTGATGCCTTGACAATTCGGGGTATAGGGTCATCACATGCTTTATACTATTTCCTATCTTATCTACACGCTTATATACTTATGTAAATCAATTTACGATTTTTACTATTAATTTATTATTTGTATTTATTATAAAACAAAGTAATGTCAACTAAATATATATAAATCTACATGAATTTCCGACATGTATATACTATTTTTATTAACTATTTAGCTATTGATTACTTGTTTAAAATTTGTATTCATCGTAATTATTAATTGGGTCAAATTATGGCGCATCTCATTCACATAATCCATGTTCCAATGAAATTTTAATTTTACGCCTAACTATTATGAAAGAAGAGCTTATAATACTATTTAATGATTTGGCAGTTTTATATACATATATATGTATGCATATTTCCCATTTGCTTCGTAAAACGAACTTCACTCATTCTAACGAACCCCCCCACCAGCTTTACAATTTAAACGAAAAAAAAGCCTTGATAATGAGGCTAATCATAAAAGCAAAAAATATTTGCACTTATTAGTTTTCACTGAACCGCCCTAAAAAAAACAAGTTCATTGAAGTTTAAACGAAAGTTAGATGAACCGCTATTTTATTTCGGAATTTTCATTTAAATACTCTTTGCTTAGTTTAAGCAATAAATCATCAAAGGCTATAGTCAATGCCTGAAATACTTAATTATAGTAAACTCGACAATTACGCATTCTTTCTCAAATTCATGCACTAGTATTGTTGGTAATAAATGAAGCTTTATTTCAGTTTAGTTAAATGTTATTTTAATAATCGCTATTATATTGTTGTAAGAGTCAATTTCTTTTTACTTAATTTTTTCGCTCTTAACACGTTTTTCGTTTTCTCTTTTTATATGAACTTGCGCCTTTTATTTCTAAAAAGGACGGACAGATCCCAAGTTTAGCTTACTACTTCACCTGAGAATTGGTGCCCAAAAAGTTGTTTCTCTAAATATTGTCCTTAACCTAGTAGGCACAATACACCTTCGGCTTCCGTAATAAATCCTAAGGGGCCTTGACAGTCGAGTTCCTTTCTCTAAAGGATGTTGTAGCATTGGTGGTTTGAATAAATAAATCTCTGTGACAGTCACAAAGAAGGTGTTCCGAATATTCCTCGTCCCCAATGCAGAGCCGGCATACCGACTCTCCGATAACACCTATGCGATGCATATGAAATCGTTGGTTGTGGCCCGTTAGATATCCGGTAGCCTGATGTCAATTCTATATAGTTAAGCAACATCCAATATATTGAAAGGCTATCCTAATACCTTGGCTGACTCCCAGTACTTACTGCGTTCAGAGTGTAACCACTCTCAGTGATTATGGTTCTCGAAGAGGACCAACTAAGAGCACGGAATGGTTCCGGTCCTAAGAAGACAGTTAAAGACTCTCGCGCCAACTCATCAGCGACCTCGTCTCTTTTCATTTCACAGAGACCTACAATTACGCTGTCTTTATGACATAATTAGGCTAGACGTTTGAAATTGTCCGCCGAGGGACGACTACTATTAGAGTAGAACTATTTGGATTTGACTAAATATATATATTGTAGGAGCCGTAGGGCACTTTAGTTGGTATACGTATATGCATGTAGGAGTAGAAGTAGTATTTATGCAACTAGACCTTAAGAAGTAGTTTAAGTAATTACGCCTTAACAATTGTTTAAGTAACTAGACCTTGAGACTCGTTTGTAAGATTAGCGAATAAGATTTGGTAAATGTCAAACGGGATAAGCCATTTTGGAAATAAAAAGGGATTCATTCGATTTTGGCACAGCGAGATAAACGGTCGTATTCTTTTGTTATACCACTGCCACCTGATACATTTTAATATTTAATACCTTATAAGGAGGTTCGAAAATGGCCAAGAAATGCCTGACGAATTGTCACCGGGCAAGGAAATGGTAGGGACCCCGCTGGCTACACCGGTCAGTGTACGATGGGAATTAATGCGGAAAACCCAAACATCACTTCAAGGCACTATTGCATCAGATGTATGTATCATGGAAAAATCTCAAAACCTTTTAATTAGCTGTCCAGCTTTCAGACTTAAGGTTTGAATACCTTTCTTCTCACTTATTTTTCGCCCCCGACGAGCTTCAGAAACCGAAATGAGCGCTTTCGGAGTTTTGATGTAAAAACGCAGCGTTTTTCTAAAAAAAAACCTTAGCTGTTACCGTTAACCCACCCCTTTTTCTTTTTCTTTTATTTTGCTTTGTATCATCTCTTTCTCTTTTAGGCAACACAAAGGACAGTTAATTTACTAGTCTAAGTGCGTCTTCACACTAAAAGTCCACAATGGAATGATATTTATGACTTGGTAATTTTTTTCTGTAAGTAATATTTCTTTAAACGAGACATTTCCTATACTTGGGGGCGTATCGAATAGAAGTCCCCCGCTTACACATATGACCAAGCTATTATTTCTACTCATCGTGAGTTCATTGTTGTTGTTTCTGTAACAGATATATTTCTATGTACTTTTTTAATTGTTGAAGTCCAAAATAGTAGGATGGCAGTATTTGAATAGTTTGTTATACAGATTTTTATATTCCCTTTTAAAAGATGGTTTAGATTTCTTAATAATAAGTATGTATCTAAATCTTGATGTAATTCTTAATAATAGATATTTATTTTATTTTATTTAGATAGTGTAATACAGACGGTTGTTATCGAAATGGGAAAGGGCGATGATGCCGCGCTTACATGTAAACATGATGAAGACCAACCAGTCTATTTTCAAAAAGACCTCGGCAAGGAGAACATCAGAACTGATATTGTGGTGAGTAGATATCTATGTAAGTTTAACACTCCCAATTCTCACGAATGTAATGGCCACTTGACTGATTGTACAGCTAAACTGCAATGCCAAGACAAGTTAACGCAGACAATTGCAACATACATATATACATATGTATGTACATTATAACTGATTTATCAACGATTGCTGTTGGCACAATGTCAACATTGAAAACAAAAACACCAAAGATAAGCAATGAAAATCTCCATAAAGTGTGAGTGCGTTATTGCTGGGGCAGCAGAGACGCGCCTATGCCTACGAAGCACACGATATTGGCTATGCAAGTGGATAAGAAATTTTACACTGGCCAGTTAAGCAACGGGCATTGAACGTCCTCTGTTATATTTGTTGCATACAAGTTGCGACTAGCTTATACCATTGACAGACGACAGCCTTGATGCGCATTATGGAACTTACAAAAGCGAGTTAGCTTTTTACAATGCATTTCCATGGCAGACATTCACGGAAATGAAAAAATCAAAATGTTATTTTTAAGTTAGTAATAGGACTAAGTTAACAACTATGAAAATATGTCCAAACACTGTACTCACTACCCTTAACATAGCTAGACTTGTATAAAAGCAGTGCCACCGAATTAAAAAAAAAAAAATTGCGAAAACAAAAATACTTGCTGTAACGCTTGTGGCGGTACATAATTCCATTTATTTTCATATCTCTCTAAATTTCCTTGTAATTTTTCCCCCATTTAATTCCTAATAATATCCCAAAATCCATAAGTTATTTTTTCAGAATTTTCGCGTAAATTTTGCATTGAGGAAAGGATAAGAAAGGCGTCGATTGCCTTGTACTGCTGTAGGAGAGGTATTGGTAACAAGTGAGGTCTCTCGCCCAAAGTAATTCATTAGATCTATGAAACCAAGCCTTGTCTGGTGGTAGTTGGTTGGTAAACTTCACGGACGGATCAAAACTTGGAGACAGGATTGGTGGAGGTGTATTTTGCCAGAAACTCTCCACCAAAACTATGTTCAGGCTTTTGGACTTCTGATGTGTCTTTCGGGTGTCATCAAGCAAACGGTAAACTCACTGCTCAATCGCGTCGGATTACTTCTTAATAAGGCTAGTTTAGGTGCCGGGTCACACAGTGACATCGTGGAAACTTCATGGCTGATGACCTGGCAACTAGGGACGTCTCTGTCCTTCTACACTCTTGAATGATTGGGCCCAGCGTTAGCTTGGCCCTAAAATTTCAAAGTCCTTTTAAAAAACATTCCCAAATGTGTGCAGTGTTGTCAACTTTAAATTGGTAAATTGCACGCAAATTGTATGTAGATAATTCATGAGTAAATGCACATTAGGGCTGCTTATATGCTTATGTGCATCAACGCTGTCGTCTGTCTAGACTTTTGTGCACTATCCACCTTCTACTCAAGTAGACATTACATGTATTCGTAGATAAATAAATGCGATATTCTGAGTATTGTTTGTGAATCAAGTCAACAATACACTGACCATAAGCGGTGCTATGTCAAGTACAAAATAAAAAAGTACAACAAACATACCGTCAAGCATTCGAGGGCACTGAGTGTCATGAAAATATTGCCAGTATCTATAAGTAAATTGCATCCGTAATAAATTTTTTTTGGAATTTCGTGAAATAAATTTAACAATAAATACTATTATATGTATATTATAATAGCTAATTGAGTTTCGAAATTATGTGGTGAAATTTAGAACTTTTAAAAGAAACCAAAAAACATGGTTTGGTTAACATTGCATGTACCACTTTTCGACTTTTGACCAGCTTTTTTGGAAAATTGGCCACGTTACGTTGTTAAGTTATTTTTATACCTTTCATGAGCATGAAATGGTATTATAACTTTGGTCCGATGTTTGTAAGTACCAGAACAAAAAGAGATAGACCCATTAAAATGTATACTTATATGATCAGAACGTCGAGCTGAGTTGATTTAACCATGTCCGTCTGTCCGTCTGTCTGTCTGTTTGTATGCAATCTAGTCTCTCAGTTTTCGAGATATCCGTATCAAATTTGGTATGTGGGTGTATTTTTATAATGTATTAATCATTTGTCGGAACCGGAAGAATCGGACCACTATAACATATAGCTCCCATACAACTGATTGTTCAGATATGAGATTTTTCGTTATAACTTCTCCATTTATGCAGCTACGAACATGAAATTTTGCAGTACTTGCACCCATTATCAACAGAATACTTACAGTGAAAATTACAAAGATCGGGTCACTATAACCTATAGCTCCCATACAACTGATTGTTCAGATATAAAATTTTGCGTTATAACTCCTCCATTTATATAGCTAGGAACATGAAATTCCGCACTGTTTTCAATAATTATCAACAGAAAACTTACAGTGAAAATTAAAAAGATCGGGTAACTATAACCTATAGCTCCCATACAACTGATTGTTCAGATATGAGATTTTTCGTTATAATTCATCCATTTATGTAGCTAGGACCATGAAATTTCGCGCTGTTTTCACTCATTATCAACAGAAGACTTACAGTGAAAATAAAAAAGATCGGGTCACTATAACCTGCAGACCCCATACAACTGATTGTTCAGATATGAGGTCTTTTATCATAACTCCTCCAATTATGCAGCTAGGAACATGAAATTCCGCACTGTTTTCAATAATTATCAACAGAAAACTTACAGTGAAAATTAAAAAGATCGGGTAACTATAACCTATAGCTCCCATACAACTGATTGTTCAGATATGGGATTTTACGGTAAAACTCCTTTATTTGAACAGCTAAAACCGATAAATTTCGTAAGATATTTTATAAATAATAATACAAAGTCTACTGAGAAAATCATCAAAATCTATGCTGTATAAGCTTTATCTCCTATAGCACTGATTGTTCAGATACCAGTTTTTGCCATATATCTCCTTTATGTAGGAAACTAAACCCAATAAATTGTGTTACCGGTTTACATACCGATCACATAGCAGTGAAAATCACTTAGATTGGTGCCATATAAAGTATATCTTCCATACCTCTGATTGTTTAGATGCGATTTTTTATATAAGTATGTAACTCCTCTATCGATGTATGCAGATGTATTCAAAGCAGTAATCTGTCAAAGTAAAATTTGCAGATGTTCATGAAAGGTATGAAGCCTTCGGCATAGCCGAAGACAGCGCTGCTCTTACTTGTTAAAACATATCTTTCGTAAAAATCAATCCCTATAGAGTAATTACTTTATTTTCACTACTATTTTAAAATAAAAGCTCTATTTTTAAAGAAAAAAGTAGGTATCTATTCAAGTGAAGCGGGGTGTGTATCCGCACTAGGGTGGTCCAAAAATGCATGTGAAAAGGTAAAGTCGGAATGTTTATGCTCTCACTCTCTAGGATTGTTCTATACCGAAAAAGTATACCCATATTTTTTTATTTTGAAATCAAACAATATTTAAAGGTCGCTCAAAGCGCCCAAAGTTTTCTATGTATTTTATATGGGGAAGAAATAACTTTTCGTAGAAATGGTATAGAATAGTCAAAAATCAATATTTTTGGAGGAGATTCCCAATAACAATACCCAATTATTTATTTAACCATTTTTTCATTGCACCTATAATTTATAGGGCCGCCAAAAACCCACAAAAACCCCAAAAAGTGCAATGGGGCGACCAATAAAAGATCGTTAGTATTAAAAATGGTTAAATAAAGTTGGGTATTATTATTGAAAGTGTCCTGAAGAGAACCAAAGTTTTCCGATCGAAAAATATTGACTTTCAAGAATTCTATAACATTTCTACGAAACAATTTATTTTTCCCATATAAAAATACATGGAAAACATTGAGCGCTTTGAGCGACCTCTGAATATTTTTTGATTTCAAAATAAAAAAAGTAGAGGTATACTTTTTTTCGATATAGAACACTCCTAGGGAGTGAGAGCATTACAATTCCGACTTTACTGTTTTTGAACCACCCTAATGCGCACACATGCATGTTGTACGTTAGTCAATATGTACTATGAGCTACTAACAAGAAAAAATTTAGTTTACAACAATTGTAATTGCTTTATTTTTGCTTCTTAGTGGCACTTGTGAAATCCGCAAGGAACTCAAAGTTTATGCGTAACACTGGACATTCTCACGTTCTCGAAATACATTTTAAACGGCTTCGTTTATTACTATATTTCTGATTGGTTTTTCGCTAGAATTTGTTGTCGCCGATGTTGCATTTGCATACACACGTGTCTCTTTGATTGATTTAATTAAGATTCGTTGCGAATTGTTTGTGCGAAATATTCACACAAGTGCCCCCAATTGGTTGGGCTATGCATGTTAGGCTACTTAATTATGTTCGCACGTTTGGAAAATTACATTTTCCTCACAACTATGCACACATGCGTATGTAAGTATATATAAGNTAATAAAATTCAATGATTTGCAAGCGTTGCTCGTTAGTAAGTCTATTCATGATGAAATGTCAAAGCATACTGAGCATCTTTCTCTTTGACACCATGTCTGAAATCCCACGTGATCTGTCAAATACTAATGCATGAAAATCCTAACCTCAAAAAAATCACCCGTTACATACTTATATTTAGGTAAGTGTAACCCTATGGCAGATACTTTTCTCTGTATTTCTGTATTTTTTTGTTTCTTACACCGTTGTCACGTGTATACTTGTAGTACATACATAGATAGTGCATACACATATGTATGTATGTATTTATGCGCCAATCACAGAACTTGACTACAATGAAGGTACATCGTTTTCTCAGCTCTTTGTAATTCATTTATGTAAAATGACCAGGGACCGAGAACAAAAGGTACACATGATCGAAATTAAATGTCGTTCTTGTGGTTTTGTTTCCAAGATCGCTTAAAACCCCAAACCGAAATGAGAACAAGACCTTCGAGTACATGCTCAACGGTAATTATGTAAGAAAAAAAATCTTGGTGAACGTTCCCTAAGCGAACAAAATGGGACCAAAGGTCTCCGAACGTTTTGGCAAAGAACACAACGGGAATAAAAGTTTAAAAAACTTTCTCTCGAAGAACAATTTGGAAATTAAAATCTCAGGAACCCTCTGACAGTGAACGAAACAGGAACAAATCTTCTCTGAACTATTCTACCGAAGAATGGAAGATTATTCTACAAATTAAGTAAACGAAAGACTTAAGACACGAACTTTTCTTTTACAGAAAATTAAAAATTGTTTCGTAAATGAACAGTTCACCCTAATGATATGCAATCTGGAAGTTGAAATCAAGCTTTCCTCTGGCTTAGAATTAACAATCACGATACCCACTGAAACAAATTTTCATCCCCACCCGCAGATGCCTCACTCATTCTTAACGTCAAGTTCTTAAAACTTTTATTCTGGTTTTTTGTTTTCTAACAGAACGTTACCTAGACGTTTGTTCTTATTTGATCCTCCTTGAAAACGTTCTCGACACTTTTGTTCTCATTTCATTTTCTTTGGAAACGTTTCAGAAAGTTTTATTATCATTCTGTTCTTCTTGAGAACGTTCCCAAAAGTTTTGTACGCCTTTTGTTCTTTATGGAACCGTTTCCGAAACTTTTGAGCTCATTTTGCTTCCGTTCAAACTGCTCTCAATACTTTTCTTCCCGCTTGGTTTATTTTGTTGGAACGTTCTTGACACTAAATTAGCCGTTTAAATTGATGTAGTGAATGCACTGCCGCCGACGAGGCCAGGATTGTCACTCCAGCAACACTCCCCAAAAACTCTTAGGGAATTTGTATGCTGTTACAACAACAACAGGTATATGCCGACGCTACTTTTGTATGTTTTCTGCATTCTAAGTTCTCTGCGTTTTGGACAGTGTTGTCATCGAAAATGTCCCTGATCCGCATTAAGTTTTAAAATTAACTCTATGACTTGATCCGAAACTTAATTCCCGAGATAATACTGAAATAGCGAGTTGATCCGGATCAACGCTGCCGTCTGTCTATGCCTTTAGTGATTTTTTGAACGTTGATGTAATTTATTTACAACCATATGTATTTACTTATATATTTTTATATTTTCAGTCAATTAATAGGACAACGAGTATCCTTTTGATTAAAAACGCATCTTTACAAAAAACGAAATATAGTTGTACATATTTGGACAATAAGCACATAGATGAATCGGAATTGAACGTGGGTGAGTAGAAGTTTGCATTGAATATGTAAATGTCCATATGTGATATGTATTTAAGTATCACAAAATCTTTTAATTTAAGATTTCATAAGGCAACTCATGAAAAATAAGCTCTTAATTTAGCCCATAAATGCATATCGCCCGCGCTAAAGGGGACTACCTAGGCCTACTTCAGTAAGGAATTAACCTTTTGATCCCAATCATATTTAAAGTCTACAGAGCCTGTTCCTACTTAGTCATATGCTTAATGAAATCGGGAATATCTCTACAAATAACTCAACTACTTGCTCTTAAGCAAAAACATGGAGAAAATTTGTGATCAACACAATTAAAAAGCCAACCTTAAGTGAGCCGACCTTAGGTACAGACTGCTAAGATGGTTGTACAGCCTAAAAACAAATGAACCACTCGTGGCGTAGTGTAATACCAATCGTCAATCAATAGGTGTTATCTAAATATGTGCATATACTAAAAAGAAGAAAAATTAGTATACATAGGTCCGGGATAGACGACAGAATCGATTCCTTTTTTGTGGACCACCGTTGCAGGTGACTAGCTTAGGGTTATGTCTAACATGGCTGCATTAGGTTGAGGCCCTCAAATGCCTGCTCTACTGAGTTAGAGAAAATCTTACACACCCTTTTTCAGGATGGTGGCCTTCCACCTTCGATTTCGGAATGTCGGTTGACGATTAGAGTACCGTTATAAAAAAAAAAAACTAACCTATACCTATAACGAATGTTTCTCCAAAACTTTACATTTTTCGTTGTATCCCGGGTTTGCTATTCTATAAATATAACGAAACTATATATAGGTATAGCGAAGTATTTATCCAACTCTTTCAAATTCGTTCTATCGAGGTTTCACTGTACTCACATTAGACTAAAGTTGTATGGAATATACAACGGCATACCCAAAAACGTTCTAAACATTCAGAGTAAAAAGTTGAAAATTTGTTGAATTTTCCTAAATTTTGTATAAAGTTTGAAATAGTGATTTATATGATTTTGGTTAAAGCTTGGGCGTTATTTTTATAGAGAAATAACAAAAAAAATTTTGCTCGAAAAACATTGCCAATATTTAAAAAAAAATCAACACGTGGTCATTTGTTTAAAGCACTGTAAGTGTGCTCTTCGAAGCGGCCGGTATTCGGTGTTCGGTAAGAGAAAGCTCGTCAAAAACAAACCAATATTCCAGATAAAGAATTGTTAAATTTTGATAAAATCCTAAAATAAAAAATTTATGTATGTATATGTTTTGTATTCTTTTCTTTTTCAAGGCACTCCTCCGACACCAGTGATCAATTTTATATGCGAGAATCATAACTATTTCAGTATGTTTTGTGAATTTTCGATTCCACCGAATCACTTACTCCCGGATTATAGTTTAACGTACCAAGTGGATTTGGTATGATGATGCAACATACATATATACATACATATATTGTAGGAAAATTTAATTTTTTAATTATTCTTCAATTTCAGTTAAATTCCGAGAAATGTGACCTCAAATATACTATGAAGAATGGAATTTTAACTGCGAATACTACTTTGGACCCCTATCACCCCTCCGGTTATGTCTACAAGTTCACTTTGATTGCGAGTAATATTTTAGGAAATCTTTCACAAGAATTTGTTGTTTTAAATAATGAAAGTGGTAAGTGGCATAGAAGGATTCTTAAAGCATTTAATATTTACACCTAACCGTGTATTTATGTATGTCTTATGTATTCCAGCGATACCTCCAAAACTTTTTATCAACATCGAAAACATAAAATCCCATAGCGTCAATTTGAATTGGTGGGATTTTCAGAGTCCATACTACCAATTAGATTTAGTATATGATATTCACGTTCAACCAGTTGATAGAGATGGATATACAAACTCGAGTACTTGTCGCACATTAGAATGTGAAATGATACTTGAAAATCTTCCATATGCAAATTGGAATTATACATTGACTGTGCGTGCGCGTGTGAATGCCACAAAAAGCAAGTGGAACGAGCCAACCTATCTTAACTTCAAAACCATATCGTGTATACCCGATCGTCCGCCAAAAACGATTGCTGGTGGCTTTTATATTCATTACAATTCCACTGAAAAGGTAATAAGCCTATATTGGGAGGAGTTGGCGCGACATGAGCAGAATGGACCAGGATTTTATTACAGAATTGATACGTGGAATGGGACACATGTGTAAGTAGAGAATGAGAGCGAATGAATTAATTTATGTACATATCCAAAATTAATTACTTGTTGTCTGGCCTGGTGAGTGTGAGGTGGGTCAGAGGGAACAACAACTCGCCCTTGCTCTGGCCAGAACTCTCCCGACAAGTGTAAACATATTTGGGTTAACGTCCCAGGCTTAAGTCCAGGACGAGTTGAAGTTCGAAGGTCATTTAGAGGTTTATAGAGGCACTTCTGATAAGAAAGTTTCTAACAAAAGGTATGTATTTTGTCCTTGGAACCCGAATCTGTGATAAAAAGCATTTATGTCTGATTTAAAGAAATGCCCTTCCGGCCAGTTTAACCCACTTGCGGCCGAAACTCGAAGTCGGTAATCCGACTTAGTAGTTTATGCTTTTGCGGTTTCGAATAAACAACCTGTTCGTCCATTTTAGGAGGGGTGAATGGGTGATCTAGAACACCCTGTATACTTATATATTTTCTCACACTGAATAAAAATTCTATTTGTTCCTACGACAGTTGGGCCTAGGGGATCGAAACAACCCAACTAGAGCTCTCACCTCCACAGCCTTACCCAAAAACCTTTTCTTCTCCTTAATATCTGTCGTTCTTCGCCGAATTTTTCCTTAAGCGCCTTTTTTCGTAAACAATTTTTAAGCGTATTTTTTCGCCGTCAACCCACCAGGGCGCCTTTTTATACCCGAGCGCACTTGTGCACAAGGGTATATTAATTTTGTTCACATAACGTTTGTTTGTAACAGCCAAAACGAATCGAGATAGATATAGACAAATGTATACATAAATGATCAGGATGAAAAAAGAAATCGATTAAGCCATGTCTGTCTGTCCGTCCGTCTGTCCGTCTGTCCGTCTG